GCTGTTTAACTGCGGCGCCACCTGCTGCCTCCTGATGGCTATCACACCTGCTTCACACGCCGGGCTGCCGCTGACTCGCCGTGGCTTGATCTTACCCAGCAGCACGGTCACACTCATGGATTCCCGCAATCTGACAGGAACGGAGAAAGCGAAATGTCACGCCCCTCCCATCACCAGACACCCGTCTCCCTTTTAATGAGACTGGGAGCTCTTGCCGTCGTCCCCGGCTCCGAGCGTGTGCCACCGAAATCCGTGACAGCTCTGAAATGACTGCAGCTGCTGAAAGTTGAAGCTTGAGTGTATTCCCAGTAGTCTGTACTGTGTTTATACTATATCTGTTATGAAAGTGCAGGTCTATCTCTCCACACGCCATGCACCATTACAGTGGCCGTGATCCAGGTTGGACTCACTGGTTACCGCTGTCAGCGCCCCCTGTCAGCACCCCGACAGCATAATGCCGCACAAGTGTTGTTTGTCCCTTAGTTTCTCCACCTCCTCTTCCTCCTCCTCCTCCTCCATATTTTCATTACTTGCCACCGACTTGACAATTCTGAGTGTGCTGAGTGTGCTTCAGAAAGCTTGCTCTGAGCAATAGAGCCGTGTAAACAAAAGATATAAACCAACAGCAGCCTGAGTGCGTTTTTCATAGAGTAAATCCTTCTTTTTGCTGGATTTAGAGACAGGGATTGAGTTCTAACAATCTGCTTCAGCCGAGTGAGATGTTCTTAAATCCATTTGGCAACAATTGCCCTGACCATGCTGGTGTAATCTTCTTCATCATCTTCTTCTTTAGATGGCATTAAGGGAGTGGCAAAAGAGTGTCCTCCAGAGTTTCAATGGCTGAATTATATTTTTATTTTGTATTTGAATCTACAGGAAATGACTCTCCCCTAGCTATAGTCACTTTTTGCTGTTACTAAATCATACCTAATGTGCTCTGATGCACAGCTTAGGCATCTGTGTGGGAAGTGAAGTCGGCGACTGATCTGTACTAAACATATGCATTCTATTTATGTATGTGTTAATTTAGTTTTATATGTGTGATATTCAGATATAATCAAGGATGTTGCTTGTTTTATATTTACGGGGGTGCTCGTTAGACTTCCAAACTAATTGTGATTTTTTGGACATTCTCCCAGTTATTGGACTACCCCAGAAGACTCTCAATCATCCTTCTCTAGTCATATTTATTATTGTTTTGGCGGATCTTGCTAATTTACATACAATAATAAGTTTACAATGCTAGGGTGACTGCATGAGCGATCTAGTTTAATTTAGCTGCTGTAATTTCAGGTCATACTTTGGGCAAGTCAGTCCACTCAGAAAAAGATCAGACCCACTAATCCTCTGCTGATCTTGTTGCTGCTCTCACTTTGAAGGCATTGCTGATCTCAGTGCTGATTCTGCCGCTGCTCTCATTGCGGATTTCACTGCTCTTTTACCGTTGATCTCGCCCCTGATCTCACTGCTGATCTCAGTGCTAATCTCACTGCTGCTCTCGCTGTTGATCTTGCTGCTGATATCACTGCTCTTTCACTGTTGATCTTATTGTTGATCTCACTGCTGATCTTGCTGCTGATTTCACTGCTGATCTTGCCATTGATCTCACTGCTGAACTCACTACAGATCTCATTCATTGTACTGTATTTAACGCCCTACAGAGGTGATCATCAGACACAGAGACAAAGAAGACCAGCACCAATACACATGCAGTCACGGAGTGTGGTCAAGAATCTGCTACTGTCCTTGTCACCTTTTCTAGCACCCTAACTCTGCCTGGGTATCTATAAATAATACCCTGAAACATCTACAGTCCAATCTGCGTGTATGGATTTTAATGGAAAACAGGCATGAACATGGATGGCTCTTGTGTCCTGGGGTGTTTCCCCTTGGGGATCAATAATGTACCATCATCATCATCATGTGCTGAGAGAAACAGCACATGATGTTCCTATGTGATTAAAAGTCTCTTTTTTAATGCTAGCATTTTGGCCATTACAATCTGCGTATTTGTGTGTGTTTGTACGGGGGACGAGTGCTGGGTCAGGTGTGGATGGGGTCACCCTGCTCTTCAGGAAGGCTAAGTGCCTTTGGCTCTCCACCGCACACATCTTATGCCTCACTTCCTCTGGATGCCTGGGATAATGAGTGTTTATGCTAATCAGCCTCTAATTAGAACTGGGACTCTGTGAAGTGAAAACAAGGGCAGTGAATGCATATGTGCGTGTGTGTGTGTGTGTGTGTGTGTGTGTGTGTTTACAGGATGTGCTGCTGCCCTGAAAGGTTTCCTATCCAGGCTGCCTTGCTTATTATCACTTTACATGTTTCTTTTAAGCCACTGTCCTGTGGATAAGTGATCAGTGAGTTGCAGTTTTTAGGTGTAACTATCTGCCCCTCCCACCTGTGAGAGTCGTGATTGGCTGCCTGATTGATGTTGATTGGCTGGTGAGTAGATTCCATGGCCTGTGCCTGCTAAGCCCATTGGCTGCCTGTGGGCTGCTGGAGAGGACAGCTGGTTGGTTGTCTGGCTGTGGTGAGGATGATCTCTTCCAGTTCCATTGGGACTTTTAAGGACTGCCCCACCAAACTTTGTTTTCTGCGCTAACTTTCCTTCCATTAACCAAAACGAAGTCAAATCCCTCCTCATAGAAAAAGGTTGTTGTGTTACAGCCTTTATGGTTGTGTGTGGCTAACAATGTCAGCATTAAACGTTGGTCAGTACTAACTGAATGTGTCAGAGTTGTAAAAAGTGAAATAGACTAGTCGTTGAATCTAGTACTTATTCTCTATATTCCTCTTTGTTTTTCTCTGCCGACGTATGGATAACACATTGTACTGAATGTCAGTGGATCACACATTGTACTGAATGTCAGTGGATCACACGCTGTACTGAATGTCAGTGGATCACACGCTGTACTGAATGTCAGTGGATCACACGCTGTACTGAATGTCAGTGGATCACATGCTGTACTGAATGTCAGTGGATCACACGCTGTACTGAATGTCCACTGTGGGTGTGTTTGTCTCCCAGTGGGAGAGCCGCCTGCTCCTTTCTCAAATGCCTCCCCGTTCCCAGCGTGCACACGCTGTCAGACGTCCGAGCCACAGGATCCAGTATGCAGCGTAACCCGCTGGGAGGCGGCCTCCTTCCACTCGATTCTGCCATCCCTCCCCCTGCCCCCCGGTCCTGTTGGCATGTGACTGACGGTGGCTGTCTTGGTGCTGACCGAACACAAGCCTGTTTCTATTGTCTGGACTTTGTCATCACTGATGGTCATTGGATAGTCATGGCGATCTGATCGGAACCCACATCCCTGCTGAAGAGTTTGTTATTCGTTACTGTCTTTGTCATCCGACTGGACTGGGTGTGGGGGGGTGGGGGGTGTTTTATTTTTGGAGTCTTCACCAACAAAGTCCTGCCGCTGAGATTAAATACGGGTGCGGGTATCTTATATTACAGCCACACCTGACGATTCCTTTGTAGAGCCGCCTTACAGCATGCAGCTGTGCTCCGTGAGGTATTCCCTCTCCCCTTATCTGCAGTTTATTTTGGGTGCATCTGGGTGAGGAGTTTGGGTGCCTGAGCTGGAGGAGGAACATTTCCATCTGCGTCTGGAGTGAAGACCATGTCACCTTGTTTCGGTTCAGGATCAGGTGCATGTGCTGTGAGACATATACATCACTCCAGCAGCGCCATCTTTTGAGGGGACGCTGACCGCTGACCTAGCGAGCCAGTTTCACTTTCTCTCAGGTGGGGGTGGGGGGGGGCACCACATGAGCTTTGACCGGTTCTGCACTCTGGTCAGAATTAAAGAGCATCTGTTACATTTCATAGGCTGGATGATATGGCAAAATATTTTATCACAATAATTCTTTTCATATCAGTTGATATTGATAATTTTCACAATGTAATTTAAGTCATTATTTCTTTAGTTCAAGGCTCCCTTTTTCTTAATATTCCCATAGGATTCCCCTTGAACAGATTCAGGACATGGAAAGGGAGACAAACTGAATGGAGTGCAACCTGAAATGTAATTTTAATAAATAAATGGTAGAAAAATAAACCTTTTTGTCATAGAGCGTAACACTAATAAACAGTACCGTTTGCTGCAAGATATGTATTTCTTCAGATTGAAAGTGGAAACTCTAATCGCTGTTGTTTGTGACTGTAAGCGCTTAGATGCTGTATGTTCTTTGAAGGTCATCCTGGAGCAACGACGCTTCTGACTTTTCAGATGGATGAGGTGAAGGACGAGGGAGCCCTGGATCTCACTACCCATGGCTGCATTTCTGTTTACAGTCCTTCTGTCTAAATCCCAACAAATAAGCAAACAAACAAACAAGCAGTAGTACTACTAACCGCAAGCATGGTGTGCCCAGTAAGACTGAGCTGTTACTGCTAAATGGTTCCTGGTTTGGATGTGGGGGTGGATTTATTTACCCCGAGTCATGTAACGTCAGGTCCTCCCACGCCAGTCTCCGGGTGTTTAAAGTGCGATGCCTCTTATCCGGCTCCCATGAATAGAGAAGATTAATCATGGAGGGTTGTGGATTACTGCTGATTCATAAGAGACCTATATATTGCTGTGGAACAATAGTTTTTTTGCAGTGCAGAGATGATCCATTTTTCTGAAAACAGCCCCCTGCTCCCAGACAGGTGGAATTGTGGAAGCTCTACCTTCATTTTCTCTTGGTCCTGGTCTTACACGGTGCTTCTGTGGTGGAATTCTCACCTGCCGTGTGAGAGGTCAGGGTTTGCTTCTTGGTCAGACCTGCTAGGGTCAAGAAAGTTTGTCTTAAGCAGATGGGGGTGTCATGGCATGTCACTTTATGGATATGGAATGTTCCGGAAAAAGTCCAGAACCTCTTTCAACGAGGTCATGGTTTTTTGTTGTTGTTGTTGATATAATGCGTGCGTGTGAGGAACCTAGGAAGGTCTAGGTGATCCTCTTCATGACCCTGCATAGTCACAACCCACCTCGTGTCTCGTATTTATGCAGTACCGGCGTGGATCCCCTGCCCGGGATGTTTCCGCGCGCCTGGCTGTCGGACGTGGGACTCTGAGGGGCGTGAGCTCGGCACACAGTCCAGGGGGCGCCGTGTGGGACGCGGAGACGCTGACATGAACCTGTGCTGGAGTGAGATCAAACGCAAGTCCCACAGTATCCGGTAAGGGATCTCCACCCCCCTCCCCCACGAGGCCGCAAACGGCCAATATCCTCGGCATATCCTTCCTGTTATCCTCGTAATCGACGGCCTGGCCCTGTTTCATCAGTGACGACGGCCCAGAGTGACTGTGGGGCCTGTAATGGGGTCGGCAGGCTGCTGATGCTGGCGGACAGTCATGTGATCAGCACAGACGCCATTTGGGAAATGGGGGGGGGGGGTGCTGGTCTACCAGTCAAGCTCAGGGTTTTAAAGTGTCTTTAGAGGTATGGCTCTAGATGTATGTCTTTTTATGAAATGTCCCTCACTCTCCCTGTCATCTGCCATGGAGAAGCAGGATAGCCTCAGATGTTGCGGTTTGCCTGGGGGTCCATGCCCGCTGGCTCCCACATGGTCCTGCCCCGTCAACAGCACACCCCTTGGTGCCAATGCAGTGTACAGGCCAGATAAATAGTACATCAAAGACCCAGCAAGGTGTAAGGGCAGCTAGACTGAGCTTCTAGTGAGAGGCGAGGACAGTGCAAGTTAGTAGGAGCTAGTAAGAGTGCTACTCAAATGAAAGTACAGCTAGAGGAGCATGGGGGGTGACAGAGCGGCCCAGTGGCCAGAGGGCTCCTTCAGGTCTTCCTGGAACACATAGGTCTTCAGGTGCTTCTTGAAGGCTGTGAAGGAATCGGATGGGCGGATGTGGGCAGATAGCTTCTTCAATCATGAAGGAACAACACAAAAGAAACGTCTCGAGATAATTAAGCCCAGTCGGAGGTTAAAACCTGGGGTTTAGCACATAATGTCTTTGTATTTATAGGTCAAACTGTGTGAAATAGTGATGAGTACAGTACAGGATGACGGCACCAGGGACGTTAGTGTGATGAGGTCTGTGAAGCCCCCCCCCCCCCCCCCCCCCCCCCCACTGTGTTACGCGGATTGCGGGGGCGATCATGGTCGGCGTGTTGGCGGGGTGTAGCCATCATGAATGATGGAGAGTTCGTATGGCCGACCATTACTGGAATGAATTCTTGAGGTCACCCTTTGTGTGACTTTCCACAAGGCTCTGTCTGAGTTATCACCTGCGCTCTCCCCTCCAAGAACTACAGGCTGTGTGCCCCCCCCCCCCCTTCCCCTGACCATGAGAACTCATACTTCTTCTAGAAAACCATTTGCACCCCTTTTTTCTGTCTAATCATGACAAATAAAACACTGATTTATAACCCCTGTCTGCGGGGATGGGCGGACTGTTGGGTGGGATCGGAGGTGTAGATGTGTTCTAGGCTCTCTGTGGACCTCCTTTGATGGGGGAGGGGGTCGCTCTGAGTGACAAGGGCTTTGAACAGAGGACATTAGGAGATGAGCTAAAGCACAGCTGTCTGTGTGAGTTAACATTAATTAGCATTAGTGACCTGTCTTATTGTGGGTGCAGATCCTGCTCATCTCGAGTTTAGCACAATTTTTAAATGTTGTCAAGGATGTTCTGTTGATGTTCTGTGGTTCTGGATGCTCATTTAAAAGGTATCATAAGGGAGAGAGTACCAGTGATTCCTTAGTATGTCAGGTTTTGGTTCAAGCTTAAACATTTTTATGAATTTGCTTTCACTGATATGGCCTTCAAATGATTTGATTCACATCACTTTCGAATAAACAATCTTTTCGAACTCATATCGTTTTCTTAAAAATAAATCATTTGCAGCCTCGTTAATTTAGTTATCATTTTATTTGTGCTGGAAAAAATTAAGAGACCACTCTATATTTTTAAATGAATCTGCATTTTTAAATCCTGGTTTCATCCTGAATCCGCTGGCAGAGGCTACGCTGAGCAGCAGGATGCTTTCAGATTCAATGTTTCTAAGACAGCGGACACAAGAATAAGGTGAAGCAGGAGATACAGGGAATGACCAGAAACCAACCAGGTAAAGTGCAATAGTGACTTTCTAATGCTAGAGGTGACAGTTAATTTATCTGACAGTTTCTCATGAATCGGAGGATGACATCAAGTGACCTTCAAAAGGAATGGGAAACATTAAGTGCAGATGTGAGGTGCACTGCTAGGACAGTTCGTATCAGGCTCCTAGAAGCAGGACTGAAGTCCCATAAAGCAAGGAAGAAAAATATATTATTCACAGACGCACACCCAAAAATTGAGAAATTGGTGAAACAAAAAGTTTTGCTGTGGTCTCCTAATTGTTTCCAGAACTGTAGGTATTTGATATTTTTGTGAACTGCAATAAATAAGCTTAAACCAACTTTAAAGAATCTATGCTTTTGTTATGTAATTGCACAGGCACTAAGAACAGAGAGCAATCATGTACTGACTGAACGCACTGTTACTCATATTGATAGGCAAACATAGCCCTTTAGGCATAAATAATGCTCTTATTCATCAACTAATGCAAATAAAATTGAACATGACTCAGATGAGGTGAGACCGCAATCAGTCTGAGCTAATTCAGGAAGTGGCTGGGTGGGGTGGGGGGGCACAGGAGGCAGGTGTTCTGCTGGATGGAGACGGGCCCCCGTCTGTGTCACTCTGATCACGCACATTTGAAGAAAGTGAGAGGCTGTGTATCATCAAGGCGCCACACGTCACAGACCTCCCTCTGTCTACGTGTGTGGGGGGGTGTGTGGTTGTGTGTGTGTGTGTGTGTGTGTGTGT